CAGAGCATAGCAAAGCGGGCCAGATTGACTCCAACCTCGCCGTCGCGTCGCCCATGACGTCGCCCGTAAGGCGGGAGGTGGTGTGGCAAAGTGGTAACCCTTCTCGAATAAGAGATCCCCACCCAACCTCTACCATACATATAAGAGCCAGTCAAAGCGGAGAGGATGCGAAGCTTGATCTTTATTCCGTGGCCAGGCGGGCTCACGTGAACATGGCTTTGGACGAGCCCTTCCACTGCGTGTCCGAGTACTGGTTGTAGTCGCCGACCAGGGAGCGGGCGGGCAGCGGGGGCACGGCGAGCGTGCGGCCGAAGGTGAGCGGCTGCGACTGCGGGTTGCGGTAGCGGGTGAACATGACGGGGTAGCGCTGGTAGGTCCTGGAAGGAGGTGGGAGGGGGCGAGCAGTGGTAAAAGCGTTCCGTAGGAGGGGGCGTAAGTGCAAGTTCCGCCGAACTGCTTGCATGCGAGCAAGGCGGGATTGCCCATCCTCTCGGAGGGCGGCGCCTTACGGCTCGAGCGAATTAGGCAATCCGCCCGCACGCGTGCATGCGGTACAGTCCAACTACGAAAGTGAGCGCGGGGCGAATCAGTCAGCTCTTGGTATGCACCGTGCAAAAGGATTTTTTGGGGTGATAACGAAACGGACACCGTGGCCCACACCACTACTGGTCGTTTGATGGCCCAGTCGACACACGATAACGACTACGAAACGCCATATCGTTTCGCACATATGGTACACACGGTCCGGCGGCTCGAGCACAGAAGAAACACGTCCGGGCGCGGCGGCACTTACGTGAACATGTCTACGGGGCAGTGGAACGGCGTCGCGGCGACGTCGAAGAAGTCCAACGGGTGCAGCCGGCCCGAGTGGTCGCGGAGCTGGTCGCGGTGCTGCTGGCACAGCTGCGCGACAAGAAGAGACGACACACCCGCGCGGGTGACAGGAGGCGAAGCGTCATGTTGAGCCGGCCGGGGACCAAAAGCCAACAGGAGGGCGTAAATCACGACCGGTCCGGCCGCAGAGAGTGAATAATGAGCCCGTTTTATCATCGCGTATCAGCAGCGCGAGTGGGGAGTTGTAGTGAATGCGGCCGAGGAGTCTCTGGAGGCTCCAGTCCCAGCCCAGAGGCCCGGCCGTGCGGGCTGGGGGTAAGTTTACCTCGAGGGCTACTTCTATAAATTCAAGCGTACACCAATTTTTCCGTTTTTTCCTGATTTTTCTGACTTCCCATTTTTTCTGATTTTTCCTGATTTTTAATGATTTTTCTGATTTTTTTATGATGTAGGGAGTGATTTGTTTGAGTGAAGCACCCCTCGCTTTATCACGACATTTGTCGCGGTAAGATTCCCGTAAATGATGTTTTGTGTTCTTCAGGCGGTTCTCATCATGAGATGGGGGAATTTACGAATTGGAATCGGAAATTAGGGTATTTTTGAACAATCGTGGCGGTACGGTGATGGTTTTACAAACTCTACACGGACCATGTAGAAGGCGTCGGTCTCGGCGCGCTGCGCGGGCGCGATCCACGAGCAGGGCGTCCGCCTCTGGTGCAGCATCCTCTCCCAGTTGCCCACCCGGTCGGCGGCCACCATGTCGGGGCGCGCCGAGTAGGGCGTCCTCTCGCAGCCGTACAGGTAGGGCGGCATCTGCGAAACACGCGCGCGTGTCGTCGTCATCGCGGGGGGAGACAGCGAGGGGAAGGAGAAGGAGGAGGGGGCGGAGCGGAGGGCGCTGACCGGCGCGAAGGGCCCGCCTTTAGGCCCGGCTCGAGCGGACACCTGACGCACCCGCCCGTAAAAACGGATTACATGGCGTACAAAGACTTTCACCGCCTCGGCCCTATACACAGCCCAGAAACGCTGCCACACGAAACAAGTCGCCCCGATGCCGTGTCGCTGACGTCACACACATCGGTGGGCGGGAATGGACGTTTCTTTCCGAAATTCCGTGTGAAGTTCTGACCCACGCCGCACGGCACGGTACAGTCCGTGTTATTGATCGGGTCGCAGTGCGGCCAGTGTCCTGCACACGGTGCCATCTACAATCTACAAGCGGGGGCCCCCGCACGGTATCCGACACGGTGCCCTACAGGTGCGCACCGAGGCTCTGACGGCGGCCTCATTCCGGTAGTCGTGGAAGAAGAGCTCGCCGCCGTAGGGGCTGCCCTTGCTGATGAGGGAGCCGTAGCCCTGCGACACGGGCGGGCGGCTGCCCATGAACGTGGGCCGCAGCGCCACGGGCAGGTGGCTGTCCGCGGAGGACGTCAGCAGGGCCGTGGCCCCCGAGCCCGCCATCGCCGTCGTCGCGGTGTTCTACGCCGTGTGACGTCGTCCTGCCTCGGCCCGCCCCGCCGCGCCACGCCACGCCACGCCACGCCGCGCCTCACCGCAGCTGCTGGCCAACAAACAGGGCAATCAGGTCGCGTTAGTGAGGACGATTGTGCTTTACAGGTCACTTAGACCGCCCCGGTCCCGCTCCGTCTGCGCCGCGGTTCGTTGGCGGCCCGCCCGGCTCCCACGTGTGGCGACACAAGTTCGGCCGAGGACGCCACAGTCTGAAGAGCCGCTGCTGCACTCACCTCAACCTCACTCATTCCGCTCAAGTGTATTGCATTTGCCTCATGGCGCCGTTTCTGCTTCGACTGGGCTGCCATCATAGGAGCGCCAACAATGAGCCCTTTGTCACGAGTGCGCGGGAACGCGCCGGCCGGGCACGGGGCACATGAGGCGCAGGGAACGCCACTCTCCGAACGTCCGAGTTCGACTCGTCCGACGCGCCCGACTCTGGCAGGCTCCAGATCCCGCCTCCGTGCTGCTGCCGCGCGCCCGCGGGGTAGGCAACCCATTCGACGCGCACGCCGGGCGCGAGGCTGCCCGCGCGGCGCCACCGTCGCCTCTTGGGCCTGGACCTGGACCATCCTCGCGGTCCGTCCTGGAGACGTGTCTGCGGCGGGGTCCGGGGGGCCGCTGCCGCTACTCCTGCCAGAGCCCGCGACCCGCTGCCCGCGCGAGAGGCCCAGACAGGAGCACATCACGGCAAAGTCGGCAATATATCAAGGAAAATTCCAGACTCGTTCGAGAGACCAGACCCGGACGGTGCTTTCTGGGTGAGGGGCCGCGGCTGTCCGTCCGAGCGACGGCGGTGCGTCCTGATTCGGCAAGGGGCTGTGCTGGGGAGGCGGAGGTGGAGCGGG